TATATTATCACGGGGGGGGGGGGGGGGATTGTTTTACCTTCGCTTCCTAGGGGAAATCGGAGGGTTTCTGCCACCACCACCCTGAAAGTAGTAAGAGGTGGGGGAAGATGAGAAACTTGCTGTGGTTTGGGAAAGGGGGGCAGACTAGGGTTGCCAAATTAAAAATTCCTACCGGCGGGGGATCGTCTGGCCGGTCCGGGAGCCGCTTGGGGATGAGCGCGCGCGCGCGCCGCCAAGACGTCACCGGAAGTGACATCACACGCTGGGCGGGGCCACGCCGTTTGAGGGGAAAACAAAGAGTTTTCCCCTCAAATGGCGTGGCTCCGCCCCCAGCGTGCGACGTCACTTCCGGGTGACGCGAACGCGGGGGTGGGGTTTTCCCCGGGCCCCGATTCCGAGGCTGGCATCCTTATGCCCACACTGAGCTTAATTCCCCCAAATTGGCTGGGGTTCTGGGTACATGTCCTGATCTTAACCCAAGTTAGAGAATCCACATGTGTCTAGGGGAAGGAAGGCGGTACATGTGGTAACAGGAGAAAAAGTAGTTCCCCAGAGGTGGCAAGATTATTCTACTACCTAAGTCCTCCTTTAAAGAAATACTTCCATTCCATCTCCATTTTATATTTAGACTGGTGTGTGTTGGGGTGGTGGTCCAGAAGCCTATTGCCCAAATATTTGACGTTGTGTGTTGGGGGGGGGGAGTGAGCAGAGGCCTGTGGCCCAAATGTGGAAGTTAAGTTGATTTTGGTATCATAGGACCTACTCTGGAGAAAAAGAAATGTAGAAGGGAATATTTCTGTCTTTAGGCCCCCCCCCCTTTTGTCTCTGTGGATCTATACATGGAGAGGAGATAAAGCTGATTCTCCAAATATAGAAAGCAAGATGATTCTATTGTCCTGGACGCTACTTCAACCAAACACATCCTCCCATATTTTCAGGCCAAGGTATCTGTGAAGCCAGTGTGTACTCTGGATTCTGAGATGCAGTTGGAGCTTCATACGAAATCTCCAGTAAGTGAGTAGTGTAGTGTTGGTCTGAGACTGGGGAGACCAGACTTCTAATCTCCACTTAACCATGAAGCTCACTGCGTGATTTTGGTCCAATCGTACACTCTCAGCCTAGCCTACCTCACAGGGTAGTTGTAAAGGGGAAAAAAAGGGAAGTATTTATTTTCATACACAAATGAAGTATTTACTGTAATTGTCTCAGTTAAGGAGTTCATGACATCTTTCCTTTCCTGTTCCGAACTCCTCTTTCTTTGACTGAGGTCCAGAGTATTAGGAATGGAAAAAAAATTTTTTTAAACCACATGATTAATTGTTGATGGCAATTTAATTAATTTCATATTGAAATAAGTTAATATAGATAACTAGGTATGGAACTGGGCTGGGAGGCTTCTACACCCCTGCTTTCATGCATTCTCTTGATGGATGGATGAGCTGCTTTCTCAAGGAAGGGGTCCCATGTTGCTGTATAATGCATTGAAGTAGGTTCAGTCAACTTCATAGATCATCCTTTCTTTCATTCTCTAAATGTTATTGACATCTTTCAAAATATCTAACAATTAACTCAAACAAAAAATATCTTTCATCAAAAGATATTTTTAAATATATTGAATAAAAATACAACCCAAACAATTACATATCTTCATTTTCCCTTGTATCGAGGACAGATTGTTGCAGCCAGGGTTGCCAACTCTGGGTTTCAGAAATACCTGGAGGTTTGAGGGTGAAGCCTGGGACAGTGGGGTCCAGGGAAGGGAGGAACCCTCAGTAAGCTAAGATGCCATTCAGTCCATCTTCCAAAGCAGCCATTTCCTCCAGAAATGGAATAATGTTTTAAATAAATAAGCAATTTATGTAGTCTGGAAATCAGTTGTAATTCCAGGAGATCTCCAGACCCCACCTGGGAGTTGGCAACCCTAGTTTCAGCTGCCAACCCCATCGTACTAGAAACCCCAAATACCAATTTCATGATGATTCACCGCCCTCTCTTCCTGCCACCCTCTCCTCCATGCAATGCCTGAATCCCATCCCCAGTTTCACACCTTCAGCTTGTTCACAACCACCACACTCCTCCCTCCGGACAACACTTACCAGCTGCCTGTATGGGGCTCTAAAGTGAAGGTGAAATGCTGATCTCCTCTGAGTAGGGATAACGCCCAGAGCCAGAGCCACCTCTTTAGGAGGGTGTTTAGTATGGCCCAAGCCAAGTGGAAAAGTGCAGGGCTCTGAGGTCCAGGGAAACAGGAACTAGGCTACTCAAAGCTTATTACCAAAATGAGTCTCCATAAATAGCATTATGGTCATTTCCAGGTCTATATGGAACGTCCAGATCTTGGGGAATTTACTGAATTTCTGTATAACTTTAAGAAATGCTGCATAAACTAGTTTCTGTTTCTCCTCAAGGCCTGTGTTGGAGGGATTGTCTCTTTTATCTTTGATGAGAAGGCTGTGTGTTCTCTCTCTCTCTCTCTGGCTCTGAGTAGAGTTCTCTAGTAGTAAGTGTTCTCTGTCTTGGTTTGAAGCAACAAACAGGCCTTTGTTGAAACTACCATAGTCTGCTCTGTGTACAGAGAGGGGTGCACTGCAAGTAGGGTAGGCAAGGAATACCATGTGAGGCATCTGGAACAAGCCAGCAGCATTCTTCAGGCAACTGCTGCTGGTCCAGACCCTCTTCCAGAACAGAGATTCTAGGAAATGGAAAGCTGGAGTTTGGAACAGGAAATGTGCTACTGTTCTCTTGTTAGTAATGGTCTCAGATGTCTAATTCTAGGTTTCCTGCAGACTAGTCAGAATGTGAAAACTCCTTCGTTTCCTCACATCAAATACAATATTTCAGTAAATTAAGAGTTTCTGGGAAGAATATCTTCTTTCCCCCTCCTATCTCCCCACATATGCCCATGTACACAGCCTTTGGTCCTGGAGCATACAGGATTACATAATACAGCAGGCTCTGAAGATCCTATATGGCAGCAGGCCCTTTTTCCATTGAAGTGCAGATATTTAAAAAATAATATTTTGCTATTCCTTTTCCTTTCCTCTATTTTCCCCACTATTCCCTAAGTGTTTCCCTCTTTCTCCCAAAGATTTGTGAGGAAGAGCTATTCCTCTGTACATTGTTCTTACCATCCCCAAATCTGCATGGAGAACATGAACATTTGAAGATACACATTGCCCTGAAGGTTTGTATCAATATAATTGTTTCTGAAGATATAGCCATTTGGTTCTGATTTGGAGAACTGAATGTCATTTTCCAAATACACAGTGGCAACTGGCACTGACCCTCACTGGAGAGAGGAACCCTTTTCAACGTGTGGGTAAAGTTCAAGGGTATAGCTGTTCCCATGCCCTGTTCCTATCCACACACACACACACCCCTCTCTCTTTTTGTAATCTGGGCATGCTGAAAGACTACAGAGAAGAACTATGAAGAATGGTATGGATAGAAGGAAGCCACTCACCTGGGGCGGATGTTTTGATGGGAGTCTTGTAGTGAAAGCAATGATAGCAGAGATAACTATTGCATCTGTAGCTAATGAGCGCAGAATAGAAGTTGCGCTTCTATTTGTCTTGCTCTGCAACTTTGTTTTGCAGTCCTCTTACCCTATCCAATAGTTCTTCCCTTTCTTAAATAAGGGAACAACAGCCAGCTGCTGTTATGGGACATGACATTTTTTGTGGGTGGGGCATATTGAGCCTGCCTTTTTTGTAATATATTTCAGTGGGTTTGAGACAGGTTCCACTGTGATTCTGGTTCTGGTAGACACTAGGCTGAGCATAAATCTTGATAAAATCATAATTACAGATCTGAACAGTACAGGCCAGAGTTGATACCTAAGTGACACAAATGGGAAATTGGTATTACTAGCCTTGGGAGCACGGCTCGATGTGTTACCCTCAGCAGTACTTTATGGTAGATATACCCGGACTCCCATGCACCAGAGAATTTGCTCCTGTCTGTTAGAACAGGTGGAGTCAGCCGCCCATATATTACTCCATTGTCCTATGTATGATGAAGAGAGACAGCAGCTGCTGATACCCCTTCTCGCACGTTTTAAACCCCTGGCTAATTATCTTACATATGCCGAGGAATGCTTGATGAAGTTCTTACTGGCTGATACTTATGATTCTGTCACACACAATGTTGCTAAATATTGTTACTTGGTAATTAAAAAGCGCAATGTACTGTAACTAAAGCCATTAATGATGGAATTGACCGGTGTGGTATTTTAGGAATTAAGCTTGTAAGGTTCTTATGTTGTAGACTCTGTGTTTAATATTTTGGTTCATTTTGCTGGTCTTATGACTGTTCTTAATAAACTTACTTACTTACTTACTTGCCTTGGGAAGCAACAGGATAAAAAAGACCTAGGCTGTTAGAAGGCTTACTAGCAAAAGTAGACAAATTGGCTGTAATAATAATTATCCACATTTAGTGCTTGGCTCTTAAAATATAAATAGTTGTGAGTTTTCTATGTTACTCATACAATATATATGATAGATAGATGATTTTTTCTGTCATTTCAAACAGACCCGTTTTAGTAATCGGCTACTAGCAGAATTTATTTCTGTTCATACTGTTTACTTATTTATTTACTGGTTCATACAAACCCACTTGCCGCCTATTTGTGAAGCATGCCTGAGCCATTGTTGACGTAAACTACTTTCTTCCGTTTACAAACCCTTCATTGTGATTCTGAATTGCTATGGTGTGTTGTTTGAAACGCTCACAGCACTTCCTGCAATATTGCTTTTCCCCCTACCCCCTTTTCACCATGTGCATGATCGTCCTCTGAGGGGTTTTTATTTATTTATTTATTTATTAAAACAGATTTAGTAGACTGCCCTTCCCTGCAAACAGGGCTCAGGGCGGCTTACAG